CCACACACATTCTTTGCTGCCTCCTATTGTTCAATCAGATTTTTACAGTCAAGACCCCCCCCCCCACACACACACACACAATCATTCCAGGTTTAATGAGACCCTGAGAAAAAACTTCAAATACCGTAGTTGATTGAACCAGTGATTTTCAATAATCTCTCTGCCTTGAAAATTGTGACAGGGCAACCTCAATGAACTCACTTTAAGAAGTAAAGATACAATTCATATTTTAATAACTTTAATGCTGGGGACTTTGGCTTCTGCATCCATGCATCGAAAAAACCTTTCTGAATAGAAAATGCAAAGACCAGCTCCCTTGGCCTTTATCCTAGATATTGTCATCCTGTTTGATACATTCTGTTTGATAATGTACTCTGAGTTCTTAAAAGAACATGCTTGATCAAGAACAGGGACAAATTCCAATATTCTAAACAGTTTGGCAACTTTTTTGCAAACCCACTGAATTCAGGGTTGCACGCCAAGGGTACTCCGATGACCATCGTTTGTGAGCCTCTGGAATAAACTGTTCTAGTCTGGGAAATGGCAAAAACTCTTTTTCTAATATATTGGTGTTATTGCCAAAATAAATTCCTGGTCACAATGCCCACTCCTGAAATTAATTTATATTCTACCAAGTAGATTCATTTTCTTTGCCTAAGGGAGAGATGGAAACATCTGCAGACAGAAGAAAGAGAATGTGAATATTTCGGAGAACTGCAAAATGGGCAGTGGGAACAATGCTTGAATTATTGGGGATCGGAGAACCTGCCCCCCAGTATCCCCAGGGCTTATATTTATAGGAGACCATTTTTGACAAAAAAAAGACATTGACAGCATTGGTGGTGAATACATTTCATCAATCCTCCCATTCACTCATTTTTGAATAATAGAGTTGGAAGGGACCTTGGAGGTCTTCTAGTCCAACCCCCTACTCAAGAAGGAGACCCTGGCCTATACCATTTCAGACAAGTGACTGTCCAGCCTCGTCTTAAAAACCTCCAGTGATGGAGCACCCACAAATTCTGAAGGCAAGCCATGCCACTGTTTATTGTCCTTAGTGTTAGGAAGTTTCTCCTTAATTCCAGGTTGTTTCTCTCCTTGATTAGTTAACATCCATTGCTTCTTGTCTTGCCTTTTGGTGCTTTGGAAAATAGATTGAAACACCCCCCCCCCCCAATCTTTTGCCTTCCAAACTCACAACCACCCCAGCAGCTGCTCCATATAAATCAAAAACTCCAAAAGGAAGAAGTAAAGAAAATTGGAGGGTTTTTTTTGTTCCCAGAAGGGAAAAACAGCCAGGGAACCATAGCAGAGCAGACAGCAAGTCTCCAGTTGAAGCAAGAAAGCGAGGCTGAACGGAGATGGGAAGAAAGGAGAGTCCTGGAGTGGTGAGAAGCAGCCAGGAAGAGAGGAAGAAAGAGAGAGAGTGAGAGAGAAAGAGAGAGAGAGAAGCCGTCAAGGACCTGGATACAACTCAAGCAGGTCACTCTAAAGTCCTGGCTAGGAGTGGCACAAAGTTTGCCAGGGTTATTTTGAGCTCTTGGGATCACATTGGGAAACTCCTCCAAGCTACAGTGGCACCAGCAGCTGCTGTAGCCACCTTGCCAGGAATACGGATGTTCCCAAATCCACACTGTGCTTGTGCTCGCTCCCAAAAAAACAGTTTCAAGAGAAATACTTGCCAGGGTTTTAATCTTTAATTGGGGAACTGCAAAGCGGGAGAGAAAGAAAAAGAGTTGGGGGAGGCAGAAACCCCCCTCCATGCCACTCTGAATTCACAGAGAAGCAGATTTATCTCTCAGCTGGATGGTGACATTCTGTGCATGCCTGGAATAGAGCAGAAGCAATTTTGGGGTGACAGCAAGGGGGAAATTTCAAGCAAAGATTTCTTTTCAGAACTAAATCAACCATTTAAAATCCCCTAAGGGTATTTTTCCATAAAGACATACAGCAAAATTATAGCTAAAGAACCATAACTCCAGTTGTTGAAAACCTCTCCTAACGAATTCTCTGAATGCAAAAAAGCTGGGCATTTCCTCGGATGCCAGCTCTTGTTTTTGAAATTCTGGGGTTAGGAATTCAGCGACTAGTTTTCAAATAAAACCCAATGAACGACAGAATGCCTGATAAAAACAAAACAAGAGGACTCAGATCAGCAGAATTTTACAGATGGAAATCAGTGCTTTAAAAAGTCTATGGAGATTCTCAGTCATGCAGATCAGTGTTGTCCCAAAGGTGCTTTTTCAAAAGACAACTGGACTTAACAGTTACAATTACAACAACACAGTCCTTTCAGAAAGAGTGCTAATGACCAGGTGACTGCAAGGAACAGAAATCCTTCCACTCTCTGCCATTCAGTCAGAACTGAAGAAGCTTCTTGGATGAGAAGCAAGACCTCTTCAAGGAAAAACAAAGGAAGTCCAGTTGCCTTTTGAAAAAGCACCTTTGGGACAACCACAACCTGGACGACTGAGAATCTCCATAGACAGTCCTTTTATAGAGAGTTCCACCCCACCCACCCCCATCTGCATCATTCAGGTGACCCTGAGGGCACAGATAAACCTCCAGGCGGCCTCAACGACTCTCAGAAAGAGTGCTAACAACCAGATGCCTGCAAGGAACAGAAATCCTTCCATTCTCCTCTATGTGCCACTGATGGTTCTCAAAGGTGGGCAGCTCAGCCTTTCAGATAATTTAATCGCAAACAAATTTGGTTGGATTTATACAACAGAGTGTGTGACTAACCCAATAAAAAGTGTTAGGAAATTTGCAATTCAGCATGTTGTGAAAACCCAGCCCTTGATATCAAAGGTTATATATGAACCAGGCCACTACTTTAAGCCACGATATGGTTTATTAGTTGGCAGTTGTGATGCTGTTTGTTTGCAGTTTGCGGCTGCAATATGTTAAGTTTTAGAGTTTACGTATTATAGGAGCTCCTCCCTTAAGGCTGTATAGCAGCACTATGATGACACTTCCAACCTGTTCTTTTTGTTTCGGTTTTGTGGTTCCCAAACCTACCCCTCACCAGGGTATCTGGAAGTCCATGGCTTAATTGCTTGCTATTTTGTAATGCATGAAAGGCAAGATGTAATGTAAACCTTAGCTTAATATACCTTTTAAATAATTAAGAATTTATTGGAAACTCCTCTCCATACCTAGGATTCCTAGGAATCGTGAATCTTCTCATAAGTATCACATAGCCACACCCAGCCTACGTCTCATCCTATCCATTCCAGTTTTTATTCCCCCCAAAATGGATTCAAGCAGCTCCATGTAAAACATAATGGAAAAGTCATCTCGACACATGGGAATCTTGAAATGGGTGGCAAAGTAAAGAAATATGTGCCATGATGTCATTACATACCTGGTGTCAGATGTCATCAGGCAAATATTAAGCTGCATTTTTTTTCCCATGATGACATCCTGGCATTTTGAATCCTCATTGTGATGTATTGTGGCTTGTTACAGATGTCACTGCCCAGACATCGCCGGCCTAAGAATTCATGGAGAATTTGGAAATGGAGAGTCTAGAAAAGTGCTTATTTATTTGAAGCTATTGTTGTTATTGTCCTTAGGAAAAAGATACCTGACTTATCAGTTATCTTGGGGGGAAAATATTTTATTTAATGTGGAAGCTTTTGTGATCCCAGTCGCTTAAAGCCTCTTTTATAGAGTCAGGATTGCTATATTTACTTTGTAAAATGGTAAGATTAATAGAAATTTTGATTAACAGACACATGCCTCCAATTTAGACAGTTAAATTTATAAGAAATGTATCTTGAAGTGTAAAGGACATATTTTAGCATAAATATTTGCTTTTTGATCTGCAGATGGAAAGAAGGCAGTAGCTTTAAAAAAACATTTTTTTCACTCTAAGAAAGGAAGAGATAGGACACATTATTTTAGAAGAGACAGAAAAAGGGGTGAAATACTACCGGTTTGCTCCACTTCAGGCGAACCGGTAGCGATAAAAATTACCAGTTCAGGCAAAGCGGTAGTAAAATAAAAGTTACGATCCAACGATCACCTGTGCCGCGGGGTTTAGCTTCTCTAGAAAGCAGGATTTCCTGCTTTCTAGTGAAGCTAAACTGCGCGCCATAGCTGATCCCACCCCCTCACTGTTCTACTTACTTTCCCAAGCCTCCTTTTGGTGCGTACTGCGTGCACGTGCACATTTGGTACACACTGAGCATGCTCACATAGCACGCATTTGGCGCACATGCACGCGTGCAGTTCATGCTTGGCGCGCATGTGCAGCCAATGAACTGGTAGCAAACCGGTTCAGATTTCACCCCTGGGTAGAAAGAAAAGGTTGTGATATAGTAAGAAAAAGTAGGACTATTTCTAAAGTGACATGCAGACTTACAACCACAATTGAGCCCAAATATTCCATTGCTAAGATATTTGTTAGGTCAGTTTTGCCTCATTTTATGACCTTTTCTTGCCATAGTTGTTACGTGAATCCCTGCAATTGTTAAGTTAGTAACACAGCTACTAAATGAATCTGGCTTCCCCATTGACTTTGCTTGTCAGAAGTCATGCAGTTGGCAGTTGCCAAGCATCCAAATTTTGATCACATGACCACAGGGACATTGCAATGCTCATGTGAAAAACACTCATTAGTCACTTGTTTTCAGTGCTGTTGTCACTTTGGACAGTCACTAAGTGAATGGTTGTAAGTCGAGAATGTAAAATCATGTCTAAAATTCAAAGTTTTATTATCTTCCCACATATTAAGTATCCCCCCCCCCCCCATTTTCATTCACCAGACAAACAACTTAACTCTCTTGTGATTAACTGCCATGAAGAACCTTGTCTAACCAGAAGATGGACGTTATTCAAAGACAGGTTTTAAATCTATTCTTTCCACGTGGCCGTTTTGAAATATAGGTGCCTTAGGACAAATTAAGCTGAATTTGCTTATTAGACTGATGTTAATCAAGGTGGATGCGAAGCTCGGGAGAAGAACTGAGTGACACATCGCGCAGGGGCGTGCAACGACTTCCTTTGGGAGAGAAAGAGCTGAGCTTGTCACACAACCATTGCTATGGAAGCAGCAAGTGAGAGTGGCACCTGGCCTGCAATTGGGAAGACCCAGGTCAATAACCCTTGAAGCTTCACTTAATGTGCTATCTTCTCAACTCAGCCTATTCCACAGAAATAGGAGGAATATTGAAATGAAAGGAGAGGAAGATGCAATTAAGGGAGCATCTCCTGCTGAGCTTTTTTTGCTCCTGGGCAGTGATGGGATTCAAATAATTTAACAACCGGTTCTCTGCCCATATGACCGGCTGGGTGGGCGTGGCCAGGGGGTGTGACAGGCAGCACTCGGCCTCCTGCACCCCCCCAGGAGCAAAACTGGACCACGAAGGGAGACGCACAGACCCCCACACCCTGTTTCGGGCCTAGGCCTCCCTGCACTTACCGGGAAGCCAAAATGGGGTGCGGGGGGACTCCTGGAAGGGGAGGGGAGGGGCCAGCCAGCAATTTAACTACCAATTTGCCCAAACTGGCCCGAACCAGCTGAATCCCACCACTGCTCTAAGATAACTCCCATTTTACCACCCTATAATCCCTTCACTCGTGAATTTCCTTAAAAAGAAATCCTCTCCAAGCCTGTACCTCTGTTCTCCCATTTAAAATACAGGTAGTCCTTGATTTACAACCACAACTGAGCCCAAAATGTCTTTTTGCTAAGCAAGACAGTTGAGTTCTGCCCCGTTTTATGATATCTTTCTTGCCACAATTGTTAAGTAAATCACTGCAGTTGTTAAGTTAGTAACACAGTTGCTCCCCTTTGATTTTAATTGTCAGACCGTCACAAAAGGGGATCGCATGATCCCGGGACCTTGCAACCATCATAAATACACGCCAGTTGCCATGCATCTAAATTTTGATCACATTTATTTTTATTTATTTTTTATTTTTATTTAATTTCTATACATGACCATGGGGATGTGGAAAATGGTCATAAATCACTTTTTTCAGTGCCATTGTAATTTCGGTCACTGAAGAAACGGTTTTAAGTAGAGGACTACCTGTGCTGATGCCTTGCTAGAGTTAAGGGACCCCTCTCAAGTTCAGAGGCCTCCACGAGCATACTGCAGACTGTTAAGGAAGAAAATGAGTGGAGAGAAAAATTCAATCTCAGAGAGAAAAAATGTTTGAGGGCTCAGAGGAGCCCCACTTACGCCTCAAGTAGCTTGTTGGATATTATTGCATTGAGCAATAAGGTCTCAATTTTGCTTATGGATCAGCACAGATTTCTTAGAGAAATTGGTCTAGGGCAGGGGTGTCAAACTCAAGGCCTGCAGGCCGGATTCGGCCTGTGGGGTGCTTAGATCTGGCCTGCGGGGCCACCCTTATAACAGTGAGGGACCAGCCAGTGGTGCCTTGGTCAGCGAAAATGGGCTCCTGAACTGTTTTGGGCTGCGACAGCCTCCTGAAACCCTCTGCCAGCAAAAACATGGCCCTCCCAAACTCAGTTTTCACTGGTAGAGGGTTGCAGGAGGCCATCGCAGCTGGAAACGGAGCTCGGGAGCCCATTTTTTCTGGCAGAGCACTCGGGCTTGCCACAGGTGCCCCCAACATGAGTGACATCAAGCAGGCCACGCCCTCTCTAGCCCCGCAGGTCAAACACAACCCTGATGCAGCCCTCGATGAAATCGAGTTTGACACCCCTGCTCTAGGGAAAAGGAGGGGGTATTTCATTATGCACCAGATCAAGAAACAGCTTGATACAATATACAAGGAATCATCTCCATTTGTCTCATCGAATTATCACGTGGCCTGGAGCAGGCCACGTTTTCTCAGTTTCCCTGACCTGTGAAATGGGCACAATCTTCGGCTACTTACAAAGCTGCCTCAGGCCAAACGGTTGGCTCATTACATTTCTATTTCTTAAAGAAGAAAACATTTCCCACACTCGTGGATCCCTTATTATTTTTTTAAATCTTTGTGAATATTTGGGGGCGGGGAGGGAATTCTTAAGAAACTGATTTTGGCTAACAGAACAAACCTTTTCCTCTTTTTCCCAATCTCTAGCCTACTGTGACCACAGATATTTGGATTTAGAATTCTGAAATGAACTGTGGAAGGAAAGAAATAGGACTGCCAGGAGTTCGATCCTGACTGGCTCAAGGTTGACTCAGTCTTCCATCCTTCCGAGGTTGGTAAAATGAGGACCCAGATTGTTGGGGGCAATAGGCTGACTCTGTAGACTGCTTAGAGGGGGCTATAAAGCACAGTAAAGCGGTATATAAGTCTAAGTGCTATTGGGGAAGCCAGAATCCCCCCCCCCACAATCTTAGAAGACTCCTATGGGCCAGTCCTTCTTTGTTAGCCTAGCTCAGGGGTCTGCAACCTTAAATACTCAAAGAGCCATTTGGACCCGTTTCCCACAGAAAAGAAAACACCGGGAGCCACAAAACCTGGGTGGGTGTGGCCAACTCAATGGCACTCACTTCCACCAGTCACATGTCCCCCCATAGCCACGCTCATCTAGCTGGTCATTAAGGCAGAGAACCGGTTGTTAAAAAACACCAGGAGCCACAAAATCCTTTTAACATATCTCTCTCTTCTTCCCTCCCTCCCCCCTTTCTCTCCCTTTCTCTTTATGTCTTTCTCTCTCCCCCTCTCTCTGTATCTCTCTGTCTCTGCCCTGGCCACTTCTCCATCCCCTTACCTTCTCAGGCCAGGCGAGGAGTGACTGGGAGGGGAGGGCAAGGGGCGGGGCCAGCCAGTGGTGGGATCACCTGACAGGGCACCACAACAGAAGGCCCAAAGAGCCGCATGTGGCTGCGGAGCCGCAGGTTGCTGACCCCTGAAGTAGCTTACCACAGAGGGTGGCTTTTGGAGGGAATAATAAGATCAGGATGTATTCTGGATTGATAGATGAATCAAATGTATATAGCCATCCATGTCCCACAAAGGGGGATCTGGGCGGTGCACAATAAACTAAACAGCCAAAATAAAACAGATCAAAATCTAAAAGCCATAGTAGCATAACAAACATACCACCTTGTTTGAATTCCAGATAGAAGCATAATTCGGAGACCAAGAACTACATGACCTTAAGGGACCCCATTCTGGATCTCAGCAGAGCACACCTCTGAGATGCAAAAGACTAAATTTCAGAGAATGCACTCAGCTTGTTCTGCAACCCTCTCCAAATTCCATTCTTTCTGTTTATCGGAATATTTTTTTACGCGATGCAATCGTCCTAGATGAAGGATTAACTACTGTACACATTGTCTAATGGGAGAAAGTTTAAATGTAAACTCCTCCACATTATAGCAACCACAGTAAAGAACTTTTAATAAAATGGGTCTTTTCAGCAGAAAACGGCACCTGTATCACACGGCTGGATAACTATTGGGCTAGCAAAAATATGGTAGCCCTTGCATTTGATATCGGCGGATTACAGTCCTTTGCTTTTTTTTTCTTTTTTCTTTCTTTTCAAAATATTGGCTTTCCTTACAGAAAAAGAATTTTTCAGGCAGAAGTTTAAAAAGTCAAAATGGCGGCCAGAACCGTGAGATTCAAAGCTCTCTTTTTTTATGTGCTTGCAGGACTTTTAATTGCCAACTTCAGCTTTGTTTGAGCATACTTTCTATACACCTCTGTTTTACAAGTCTGATTTAAAATAAATAAACAAATAGATCTCATGATTGTGCCTAGAGTAATGTCATTTGTTTTCCAGTTAAGGCCCTTTCTCAACTAAGGGCTAACTTTAAGGAAATACATTGTTATTTTTAAAAAGCCCTTCCGTATTCATTCAGAAAATTAGTGCTTCCTCAGGGTGACCGTGGAAAGTAAATTGTAAAAAGGAACCGTTCAGAATTCAAAAGTTTTACATTTCAGCTGAGCTTTGAAACTGGACTAAGCATTCATTGAATTTCGCCAAATAATTCTACTCCTCTGCCACTCTCAATCACTCAAGCTGGGGTATGCCAAGAGTTTGGGAAGGCCCTCATCCTTTTTTAAATGGCCTAAATGCAGCCTTTCCCAATGAAAAAAAAAAGAAAAGAAAATTGCAATCAGCCCCATTTGCTTCCCACTTCCAGTCTTCAGCCTGCCCAGAACTAAGGAGCTGAGATCCTTGAATTTTGGGGAGATCCCTGTATTTTGGAGAGAGATTTTTTTAGAATGCACTTTTCATTTGCAGTAAGGAAGGAGTTACACTGCGACGAGGAAAGAGTCTTGGTGTTCAATAATTAAATAAAATATCAGGAATCGATAAGAGCGAGAGAAAGAACAGCCTGCCACGCTCCAGGGGACATAACTATAGAAAGTCCAGAGTGAGGCTGTGCCAAGTCAAAATGCGCCTGCTCAAATATTTGACCCACCACAACATCAGGCACGCCTGCTACAAAACTTACAACAGGGAAAAGAAGGAAACCCACAGAACGAGAGAAGAAACTGCAATGCCAAACCAAGGCAGAGGTGCAAGGTGCCCTAAGTGGCACATGGGAGCTGTAGTCCCCAAGCCACAGCAAAAGAAAGGCCACTGATGGGAAGGTGTGCTCCAGGCCATGTACTTGTTAACACAACTGGCTTGCTCTTCACAGTGAAAGTAGACCCAATCTGCAGTAGAATTCATGGCTTATCTACGTCCCATGAGCGTTAATACATTTCATTTGCTATTAATTCAAAATGCAAAGGACAGCATCTAAGCCAAGACATTGTACGTTTTGTGTGCATTTTACAGAATATATTTGACTGAAACTTTTCGACAAGCAGTGAACGCTCCGGATTCATAGTTTAGCAAATCCGGCTGACAACTTTCTCATAAAACATACCCAGCATGAGGTGTGAATATTTTAAGGCATGAAGGAGCAGCACAGTTGTAGGAAATAACTACACGCACACACACATACACTTGGGATTGAACAAACGGCAGGACACACACTCTTCCCTCCCATCTGGCTACACACTAGCACCATCTTTCACACATGCAACCCCGACATTTTTACACACACATACACACATACTGAAAGAGCATGCAAAAGAGACCCATATGCTCAACAGCTCCAAGAAACCTTCTCACTCTGGCAGCTGCACTCCACAGCCAGCTGCACACATTTTTACACACCTTTTCTAGCGCAGGCACATTTTTTCCCCCTACAGGTCTTTGCTTTCCTGAATGCTGGATGGTATGTAGATGTAGGTATAGGGCCTACAATGCAAAACCCCTGAGTGCATTCTTAGATCCAAACCCCAAGAGACCAGAAACCCATTCCCACACATCCTGGGCACTCACCTTCTCTAACACTGTCTAAAACACTGTTTTGCACACACGCTTGTTTTTACCTTGGATTTTCACTAAGCAATCTCTACTCCCCTCACACTTCCTAAATCTCTCTAAACTCAGGTTGCAGAAAAGGGGTTGGGGGGGGGGAGAAAGAAGTCCACCCATTCCTGTTTAACCATCTGTCTGGCTCAAAAGGCTGGCAGACCCACAGGGGGATTCCCACGTGCACCTGGAACAGAAAGAGCCACCAAAGCCAAACCTGCTTCCTTCCAAACCTTCCAAGTTGTCAACGTGGGATACGGAGAGTTAACATCGCCCCCCCCCACCACACACACACACACACACAGACAGACTTATGTTCACCAAAGACCATCCTGAACCCTCAACCCAGACCGACCCTTCTGCCCCCCGCCCCCAACCTCATATTCGGCGGGCAAAGACCAGTCCGCGCGCGCGCGCGCGAATGCTGTGGAGAAAAAAAAAAGATATAACTGTTTCGGAGTAAAAGCGGGGAGGCGCACCCGGGGGGGGGGGAGAGAGAGAGGAAGGCGGGTGGGAAGGAAGCTGGCAAGCGAAGAACAGAAAGTAATTAGCAAGGATTAAAACGACCTGCCGGAAAAAGGAAAGAAAAAAAAAAAAGAAGATCTGACGGCTAGTGCAGGCTCCACCGGAGGGGCTGCAGAACACAACGCCAGTCCTGTCCTTCCTTTCCCCAGTCTCCCCACACACACACACACACACACACGCCGACAGATATGCACGCACACACTTTTTGCAATTGGCAGAACTACGGGTTTCTTTCTTTCTTTCTTTTTTAAATTAATTGCTGGCGGACGCGTGGGGGGGGGGGAGGAGGTGGAGAGAAAAGAAAAGGGAGAGAGAGAGAGAGAAGCGGGTACATAAAACCGAGCCACCTCGCGACCACGCAGGCAATCTGGGTGACAAAACTGCAGGGAGAAAGCAGGAAAAGCCGAGGAGAAAGCAACAAAAAAAAAAAAAAGAGTGAGACGAAGCGCGGCAGGGCGGGAAGGAAGGAAGGAAGGAAGGAAGGAAGGAAGGAAGGAAGGAAGGAAGGAAGGAAGGGGGGGTGCGAAGGAGAATATTTGGGGGGGGGTTGAGAAAGCTTTTTTAATTACCTGGGCGAGGCAGAGGGGTGAAGAATACATCTCCGAGCTTTAGCGGAACAAACGGTGGTGGTAGAGGAGGAGGAGGAGGAGGAAGAGGGTGGCGATGATGATGGGGGGGGGAGGTTTGAAAAAGCAGATCCAAGCGCAAAAGTTACTGAGTCATTTCGGCGGCGGCTGGAACAGTTTTCTTGACTCCCTCCCTCTCTCACTCTCTCTCTCTTTCTCTCTCTCTCTCTCTCTCTCACTCTCTCTTTCCCTGGCGATGGATCGGTGCGGGAGGGGGGGGGAGAGAGGGAAGGGAGGAGACGGCGAGGGAGGGAGGGAGAGAGCAGAGGGTGGGACCAAAAGGGGGGGGGAGAGAAATGCATTTAAGAGGAGCGGATTTAAAAGAGGTGGGGGGGTTTAAAAATAAATCAATTAAGGGCGCGCGAATCGCATCAAACCGCCGGAAGAATTACGCGCGGGCATCAGTATAGACGCAGAGATCAGAAGTCATAATTTTAAAATTCTTTTAATTCGGTGCAAGCGGGTCGGGACGGGGAGGGAGGGAGGGAAGACAGCGAATGACACGCAGCCGTGGAAGTGTGACCCGGGAGGTGTCCCACGGAAGAGTTGGAAGAGACTTAGTCCCGAAGAAGCGCGCGGATACGGCCGCAAGTTTTCAAAATGGGGGGGGGGTGGAGAAGCAATAAAAAAACAACAACAAATGGAATAACACTCGATCGCTCCGATAACCTCCCGGGAAAAGAAGGAAACGCTGGATCCATCCTCTTCCGAAGAGATCCGTCGGATCCGGAAGGGATATAAGATTCTCTATTTTATTTTTATTATTATTACTACTACTACTACTCAACTAAGAGTTGAGGGGAGAAAGAGAGAGGGTTTGAGACTCGCTCCCCAAACTCTTTTTTTTAAAAAAGCGGCTGGAAATAGCCCTTAACAAGTTGGAAAACGCAGGACAAAAATAAGTCTCTCTTTTAAAAGTTTTCCTAGGAAGCCCCCGGGGGGAGGGGGGGAAGCGGCAATCAAAGGCCTAAAAGGGGATTTGAAATAAAACAGCGCAGTTTAAAGGAGGAAGGCTAAAGCGTAAAGCGGTTCGGCTCGTACAGAACACATGCAGACAGGCAAGGCTGACCTCGTTTTCGGAGGAGAGGGGGGGGGGCGCAGGAAGACTTCTTGGGCCTTACTTCCGAGTAAGCATGTACAGACTCGGGGAGATGAGAATTTGGAGGAAAAGCAACTAAAGTTGTCCTTGAAAAAAGTAAACAAAAAAAAAAATCCCCAGTGAAATGTTAGAAAGAAGAAAGTGGAATTTTAGAAGCAACCTGTCCAGAGGCAGAAAGGAACCAGGAGGGAAAAAGTGAAAGGAAAAAGGAGAGCAAAAAACGCGACCGACCCGAGTACGGGTTTGATCCCCGCCCACCCCCCGTAAAATCAATTCCAAGTTCTCCCTTTTTGCCTATGAGGTGGGGGCGACCTCATCTCCTGTAAGGTAGGAAAAGCTAATACAAAATGTTAAGACATCAGCAGCATGAAACTTTCACATACGTTTTTCTGCAAGCAAGTAAGACAGGTAGACAAGGCTCTAATTTAGAGAAATACTTTTCCCTTTTTATTTTTTTGCAAGAACCACCATCCTTAACCCTTTTTAATCTCCCATCTGCAAACATATGTAGTTTTTAAAAAGGGATACAGGCTTGCCCCTTTTAACATGTCAGTATCATCCACCGACCTCAGGGCAGGGATGTTAAAAACTTCAAGTCCTGGTCTGCCTCCCCTTCACCAAGGGTATTATAGTACAGCTCTATCTCAGTCTGCCTGATGCGGGGAAATCAATTTAAAAATCGTGTTCACAATAATAAGATGCTGTCTCTCTGGACGTGTATTAAGACTAAGGATAGTGGGGAGAGAACTGTTAAGTTTTTCCAGCCACGCATAACGTTAAGCAACTTTATTCACCAGTCCCCGTGAATTCGGTGGAAATGCTCAGCACGCCGAGTGTGCAGTATTAATGGAATTTAGGAAACCAGGTTTAAAAAAAGAGCAAGTTGAATCAATTACCCACTCAGTAACTGGAGGTGGAAAAGTGTGAGTGAGTGAGTATGAGTGTGGGGTAGTATTAAAATAAAAACAGAGCCAACACGTTTTCTTTCTCCAGGACTTTCCAACTTCCTATCTTGGAACAGGTTTCGGCTGTCACTGCTCCAAAATAGGGTTTGAAAAAGCAATCTTAATGTAGATCTCCAGACGCTGGAATTCTTAGCTCTGGGAAATCTAGCCCCCTCCTTGATATTCGGGGCGTTTGTTGCTAGATAATGAGGTTTCTATGCCTCCCACTTCCAAAACACGGCCAGGCCGTAGCGCCAGGCAGTGGAATGAATGGAGAGAGAGGCCGAGAGTTTCTTTCCTTCTCAAATCCTCTTTTCCTCCAGTTATTCAGCCCTCCCCACACTGGAAAGCGAGGAAGAAGGTTAGCCATCCTTTCTGGGAGCAACTCCTTTCTTCCTACGATCAACCAGAGCCCTGGGGGCGACACCACTAGGCGGGCCCACCCGAAGAAAATGCCCAGGGCTCAACTTCGGAAGCGCAGCCCTCTAGTCTTATTTTTCCGACACATCACCAGTTTCTGCACAAAGGTGGGATCGAGATAGAGAAGCGAATCAAAGGAAACTGGGGAAATAAGAAGGGCACCTCTAGAAAAGGGGCAACAGGGTGGGTAGCAGAAGAGAAAATAAATGTTTCACTGGCAAGACTACCAGTTACGCGTCAAAAGCCGCAACTCCTCTACCGCGGTTAGACAGGCGCTTCATGGCAAACCGGCTCAAATTTAGTGACGGTCTAAAGTTTTAAGAAGTCCTGTTATTAAACGTGGCCGGCACTCAACCTTCATCATCTCTGGGCCGCTGGAGATTTCCCCTGCCCCAAAAAAAGGAACTTTAAAAATGAGGTCACCATGAAGCCTAGGAAATTGTCGGCTTGGGGAGATCACCCGCCATCCACCCACCCACGCGCACCTAGACAAAGCAAATCACACGCCAAGATCTATGGAGTCCCTTGAGGCCCTTTAATCTGGAATTAAGGCCACTAAAAACAAATGGGATTTACTTTTGAACTGGGAGAGCCGGGAGCACGCTCTTAACGCGGACAATGTGCGCACGCAAATCGCACGTGGATTTATTTAGCATCTTGGAGGATCTAAATAGAAAGTGAATCTGGGAGGGAGGGGGAGGAATAATCATCAATAATTTTTACTTTTTTTTTTTTTTTTAACAGTTGACTGAGTAATAAATAAGTCGGTAAATAAATGACAGTTGCGCCCAAGGCTATCAGGGAGATAATTGGTGTCTTTTGAAAATGGGCCCTCTCTCATCCAAGCCATTTAGAAAAGACCTTCTGCCCACCTACCAAAATGGCATGAGATAGAAGAACAGAAGAACAGATTCGAAATTATTCGAGAATAAGGATTGGCCTAGTGACCTCAAGAGGAAGCGGTTGCCTAGGTCTTGGTTTTTATCTTGGCAAGGGTGGATATTCTCCCGTAACAAAAAGACACCCCCCCACACATCCTGCACGCAGAAACTCGACTAGGCAGAGTTGGCGCTTCCAGACATTCTTTCTACCAGCTAATCTTCCAAGTGGGCCAGAAGCTCTTTTGTCACAAGATACCCGAGGCAAGATATTTAAGAGACCAGAAGCACCTTCCCCGGAACCACAGGCGCTAAATATGCAAAGCGAGAGTCCACATTTGTAGTCAGAAGTCTGAACTCGGGCCACGGCCGATCCCAACAGGCCGAACTCTTCAAGCCATTCACCTTTTACAGAATTTGTCCTTTGTGGTTCCTGGCAGGTTTCCTTCTCGGTACCTTCTTGATCTATTGGCACAGCCATGCTTGGAAGACGCAATCTTTGCCATGCCTCAGTGGGGTCCTGACTTGTCCCAAGTTAGTACACCTCTTTCTTTTTTTTCTTTTTCTTTCTTTCTTTCTTTCTCTCTCTCTCTCTCTCTCTCTCTCTCTCTCTCTCTCTCTCCCTCCCTCCCTCTCTCTCTCTCCTGGGATGTCCTTGAAATTTTTACTCCCACCTGGCCGACCAGAAAAGCTCATTCCACTCTCTGGATTAAAAAAAAAACAGAAATTCCGTCTCTCCTGGTTGACAGGTATTTTCACTCGGTTTGAGTCAAGGTTACATGAAAGCACCGCTGCTCCTGCCGCCCAGCAAAGTCGGAGGGAAATTGTACAGTAATTGACGGGTCAGAAAGAGGGGGGGAGAGGTAGGTAAGGGTGTGTGTGTGTGTGTGTGTGTATGTATAGTGTACATAACAAAAGCAGCCTGGTTTAAATGAGGCCAAGACAGGCCGCGCAGAGGATCTGAGGCGCAAACTGGGGGCTCAAGAAAGCAGAACTTTTCTCTTGACGTTACGAGTCGGGATGTTCTGACGAACCCGGACACGGGCGCCTCCTCACTTCTCTGGAGTCAGATTCCCTCCTCGTAAAAACCCCTGGGGGCAAGATTCCTCGCGCAAAAGGAGAAGGGCCAATTCCGGACCTATTCATATTTATTTGGGGGTAACTCCCAGTGACTGTACTTCGGATTGACTCCCCCCCCCTTTTTTTCTCCAAGGCGGATAAGATCTACGCGGTTAAACTGGAAACAATCCCGGCCGAGAGAGAGAAAAGGCGGCCGGCGATCTTTACTCCAGGAAAGAATGACATTAGGTCTTTTTACACCAGCCGGTCAATTCACCGCCCCTTCCTTTCCCCAATCATCTTTAGCCTTTCCAATGGGCGATCCCAAAGACCTTTTACCCGGGAGAAAGCGCCACTGACTTTAACTTCTGAGTTTTGGGGATTGCCCCAAGCCTCCTTTTTTTTTTCTTCACGGAGGGGTGGGAGACACAGACACACACAGAGTCCGGCGGGCGCAATTCGTCCACCAGAAGGGAAGGCAGGAGATCCGTGCAAGGAAGCGCCATCCTGTTTTGCTTTGACGCAGCAGAAATCGGCCTCGGCCCAGAGGAGCCCGCTTGCTCCGCGCGGAGGCTCCGGTCTTAAAAGGCTGCAGCTGGGGAAGGACCGGCGGACGCGGGACCCGCAACGAGCACAATAAAACCCCCCTCTCCAACATTAAGGCTGGGGTTTGTGAGGCAGCTTCCCCAATGGGTATCTATCTGTATACATCTGGGGATGGATTCTGGTCGGATGAGGGGGAAGGAAAAGGTCGAAGAGCAAGAACTGGGTGGAGGGGGGAGGAGGAGGAGGAGGCCCGCTGCCTCAAAAGCTGCAGCCGAGGCGGCGTGTGTGTGTGTGTGAGCGCCGGGCGGCCGCCTCTCTCTCCCCCCCCCCCCCTTGTCCAGCCGGTGCTCCGCAGCGGCACCTCGCAGCTTCTGCTGACGAGGCGGCCTGCCTCCTCCTGCCGCAGGGCCCAGCTCGCTTCGCCCGCGAGACAGCGAATTTTGACGCGCAAAGGGCTGGGGCACGGCGAGGCGAGGCGGGGCCGGGTGCGGCGGGAGAGCCGCTCTGGAGAGGGAGTTCCTGCTCGGCCTTTCCTGAGCTGGGCGGGGAAGGCGGGGGAAGGGCTGGAGGCTCATCTGGCGCAAGAGAGGCCGGAGGGAAAGGCAGCCGCCGGAGCAGCCTTGGCGTTGCACAGCCGCGGTGGCTCTCCCTCCCCGCTGGGCGTCATTTTCAAGTTCAGCTCGGCTCGCCCGCCCGCCCTCCTTCCTTCCTTCTCCGCCCCCCTCGCCAGAGCGGCCATTTTCCGCTACCTCGAGCCTGAGCTAAGCCTGGCTGGTGCCGAGAGCGAGCGAGCGTGTGCCATACTTTCGCCCCTCGCCTCCCGCCTCCTGCACAGATCTTACGCATTTCCCCCCCTTCCCCAATTCCATGCGTAAAAGCGCACCGGAGAGAGGAGAGCTATCCAGACACTCCGCAGACGCAGCTCGCCTTGGGTCTCCGCTTCTCTCTTTCCTCCCTCCCCCCCAACTCTTCAATCTCTCGTTTCCCCACCACCACCACCCCCCGCATTAAACTGTGACACTAGCAGCACTTTGCGGCAACCGGGAATAGGGGGGTGGGGGTGGGACGGGGAGAGACAGGGGTCTTCTTCCCCTGGAGGGGGCATAATGGTTAAGAAGTGCACCGAATCGCCGGCGCACTCTTGCAAGGGAGGGGGGTCCCCCACTTAAACAGAACCCATCCCCCCCCCCCCCCACTCCTCACCCTACGGGCGGTACAACACCCCCCCACACACACACACACCTCACACACACACATACACAAGGTTTCCAGATCTCAGTTCTTTCCTTCTTGTTTTCGCTCCCGGCTAAACTCCCCTCTCTTTGCCCCGATCCACCTGCCGCGGACTTTCTTCCTCCGCCCTCCAAGAAAGCCCATAAACTTCTCTGGGCCCCCGCCAAGCAAGCCCAAAGATTGGAAAGTGAGACGAAACTTACCATCACCCAAACGAAATTGGTCAGGGCGGAGGAGCGGATTGATGCCAACGGAAGCGAAGCTGGGGGCAAGGAAGAGTGGGCGCTTTTTTTTTTTTTTAAGGTCCCACCAAGTTTTTTTTTTCCTTTCTTTTTTTTTTGTTTTTTTAAAAAAATATATATTTATGGAAGTCGAAGGGGGTCAAAATAGTGCAATCTTCCGTCCTTTCAGCGTTTGATCATCTCTCGGGCGCTTTCATCAGAGGGATTAGCATCTTAAGGGGAGGCAGGCAGGCAGGCTCGTGTTTTGGTCCCAGCTGGCGCCGTCCCCCAATGGAAAAAGGGGCTAAGGAGGGGTGGGGGGGGCGATGATGATGTCCTTTCTGTGCAGCCCCCACCCTCTTTTATCTTCAGTTGGGGTGAGTTGGTGGATCACTTCGAGGATTAAATTCTTCCCGGGTTGGAGAGGGCTTGGTGGATGCTTGTAACTCTAGAGAAACGCACATTCAGAGGTCTTAATAAGGAAGAGGTGGTAGCTGGTGAAACGGGGCAAGAGAGTAGTGATGGGGGGGGGAGGAAGAGTGAGAAGAGAGAGAGAAAGAGACACCTCACTTTTCCTGGGACGCCCCACCCTCACCGGGGAGGGAGAGGGAAATAGCAAAAAAAAAAAAATATTTTTTTAAAAAATCTCTTCTTTCGCTGCCCCGGTGCAGAAGCTGCTTATCAAAGCAGAGGTGATGACGGTTTGATCAGCAGGAGAGGGAAAGCACCACAATCTCTGTTTTTTTTCCCCTTTGCAAAGAAAATCCCGGGGGGGGGTGGGGGCAAAGCGGGGGGGAGGTAGAGGACACCCTCACATCTCCCCCCTCCCTCTCCGGGCTAGCACGGCTCCCGCGGCACCCATGACCGACCTCTCCCGCTCTCTTCCTCCCCGCCCTCCCCAAGTCGCTAAGCTCCGCCCCTTTCTCCTCCTCCTTAACCGTGGCGGGGGGGGGGGGGCGGTGAATTACAAGGCGGCGGGGTAGCGCTAGCATTGCGAGGAGGGGGGCGAAGTGGTCTGGTTAGCGAACCTCCCCTGCCGCCTTCTGTTGGCTCGCAAAGGTGATCCAAGGATGGGGCTTGTAGGATGCCGGGCGGGGGGGGGGGGGGGTAAAGGGGGCCCCCCCCCCCCCCCCCCCAGGACCAAACGGGGGGAGGGGACCCAGCCGGAGAGAGAAAGGGGGGGGGGGGGGGGGGAGAGGAGAAAAAGAGAGGGAGAAAGATAAGGTCTCCCGGTTGGAAAATTCTGTGCACCCGCTCTTTCCATTCGATTGAAATTGCATTTTGTTTCAAAAGGAATCCTATTAGCGGGTTTCAGAGGATGCTATAGCCCCCCCCCTCCGCTCCACAGCTAGCCACTGCAGGAGATATCTGCAGGAGATGACCCCTGTGGGGGGGGAAACCAGGGGAGAGCACAGCTGTGGAAGCAATTAAGGGAAGATTTGGGTGGGGGAAGCAAAAGGAATCCACTGGGTCTCATTCAGCAGAATAAAGCCAGAGAGGCTGCAAGGATGCCCTTCCTATTTGAAATAAGTGACATTATTTTCTCAAGGGTGGAGGACTTCTTATAAGCACACCCTTTCTCAGTACAGAAAGAGTTAAGCGTCCTGCTGTACAGGTAGTCCTCGACTTACAACCATTTGTTTAGTGACCGTTTGAAATTTGAATGGCACTGGAAAAAAAGTGACTTCATGACCGTTTTTCACACTTGCGGCCATTGCGGCATCCCTGTCATCACGGGATCAGAATTCAGACTCCTGACAAACTGACTCATGTTTATGACGGTTGCAGTGTCCCCCGGGGAAATGTGTGATGATTCCCTTTTGCGACCTTCAGACAAGCAAAGTCAATGGGGAAGTCAGATTCATTTAACAATCATGTTACTAACCTAACAGCTGCAATGATTCACTTAACAGCTGGGGCAAGAAAGGTGGTAAAATTCAGCAAAACTCACTTAACAACTGTCTCACTTAGCAACAGAAAATTTGGGCTCAATTGTGGCCGTAAGTTGAGGACTACCTGTACAAAGTATGGGCTGTTAACTCTGTCCTCGGTTGTCTGAAAAATCTCTATTCTCTACACGGGAGTGTGGGGGTGAACTCTGGTTTTACCAGTAGTCCCTGAACATGTTTACACAGCTTCACTCATAATTTGACCCCTAACCTCTGAACCGGTATTAATAATGTGAAATAATACTGGAGTCATGCTGCAACTAGAGAGAAAGTGAGATTCATTCAACATTTTATGAAAACACGCCTCTCATTCTTACGGTGGACAATTTTATGCACAGGGCTTTAGAAACGTGGAAGGGAGATAACTGTGTGTTGGCAGGGAACAGGAAAATAATGTCTCTATTATGGGGAATAATACGGTATGACTGAGTTGCTTTTATGTTGGGCTAAGGACTTACAAGAAAGGCATGATTTAGATGCTAAGTTAAATAGGAATGTGTATGATCAGGAGGACAGATCTACTAAAGTTCAGCAGTGACAAAATATTTATGCTTTAATCCACCCATTCCTTCGGAGAATTGATATGCTGTTCTCGGAGCAAAAGAGGTATATTGCAATATATAATTGAGAGAGCAGAGGGAACTCCTGAGATCATATATAATGTTTACAAATCTGGCCTGTTACAATCCTCTAAGTCACTGGTTCTCAACTATGGCAACTTAAAGACATGTGGACTTCAGCTGCCAGAATTCCCCAGCCAGCATGCTGGGAATTGAAGTTCTCACATTTTTAAGTTGTCAAGGTTGAGATATGCTGCTCTAAGTCACATTGTGACAAGGTTAGTGTGTGTCCCTAATGCAGGGGTGTTAAACTCAAGGCCTGCAAGCCAGATGCGACCCACAGGATGCTTAGATCTGGCCTGCAGGGCCACTCTGGAAACAGTGAAGGACTGGTCCACGGTGCCTCTGCCAGAGAAAACCTGCTCACGAGCTCCGTTTCCAGCTGCGACAGCCTCCTGCAACCCTCTGCCAGCAATAACACTCGGGCGGCCCCGACATGAGTGACACCAAGCTGGCCATGCCCACTCTGGTCACACACACACACACACACACACACACACACACACACACAAAAGGTCAAACACAACCGTCATGCGCCCCTCAATGAAATCGAGTTTGACACCCCTGCCCTAATGAGTAGTATAACCAGAGGATAACTAAACAGAAAGCCATCGCTACCTTCAATAACCATAGCTTGTTTTAATCTCCAAACCACAGTTTCCCATATTGCTGAAATTTGGATTAATAGTGATTTATGTTTTAAGTCACAGAGGTGCATGACCTGAATCCAATTAGATTCAAAGGTATTCGGAAGATCAATTCTATTTGATGTGGACATCTGAATTAAATTGGCTCATTCATCTGAATCAGATCCAGTTTCAAGCCATCCAAACGTCCATATGCAGAAACTGTCTTGGCTGATCAAATCCATTGAAGTACATTTCATTCTGATTGGTGAATCAAGTCAATCCCTCCGTTCAATTTGTGGAATTGCTAGTAGGGAAGAGAACATTTACTCAGTGGTATCAAGCAGTCCTCTTGGAAAACAATGCAGAAATTACTGCAAAAAAATAATAATAGTACAAAGCAGAATTTTCTCTCTGGGTCCTGAGAGCTCATATATGCAAATACATATGTGCATTATTGCACATTCTAGGGGAAGTTGACACACATCTCGTAGTGTATGTGTGTGTATATATGTGGGAAACTAGACTAAAAAAATGTTTAGATTTTACCCCACGTAGACAGTAGCTGATCTGGGTCAGACTACTGTCTAAAGGTGGTCCTTAACTTACACCAGTTCATTTAGTGACCTTTCGAAGTTACAACAGCACTGAAAAAGTGACATGATTATTTTTCACACTTACGACCATTGCAGCCACCCCTATAGTCATGTGATCAAAATTCAGACGCTTGGCAACTGATTCATATTTATGACGATTGTCATGTAGTGGGTCACGTGATCCCCCTTTGCAACCTTCTGACAAGCAAAGTCAACGGGGAAGCCAGATTCACTTAACAACCATGTTACTAGCTTAACTGCAGTGATTCACTTAACAACGGTGTCAAGAAAGGTGGTCAAATGGGGCAAAGCCCACTTAACAACTCTCGTTTAGCAACAGAAATTTTGGGCTCAATTGTGGTCGTAAGTCAAGAACTACCTTTACTTGTCAGATAACAACAACAGGAAGTGCTGCCCAGCCCTAAAATGCAAAGGTGACTTGGTATTGGACAGGGAGAACTTGGGGGCTGGACTAGAAGACCTTCAAGATCCCTTCCAACTTTGTTATTCTATTCTGTAATTGCTTGTGCTGCAGAAAGAGAATATGTTCTTTACCATGGATAACTAAGCAAGGTTTCCATGTTACATGGAAACCTGCCCGTAATTTATATTCTATATGGCATCTGCTTTCAGATCACACCCTTTAAGAAGGAGTCAGAGGAACTTGGACGGATTAAAAAAAAAAGCAAGAAGGAAAATCAGGAGACTGGAAACTAAGCCTTACAAAGACAGATGGAGGGAACTGGGAGATGGGTTAGTATGGCTGCCAGCTTGTGGGATTCAGTCTCCCAACTGTGCTTGCAGGAAGCTAGGATAATCCTTGTGCTCCTGCATTTCCAAAGCACTGCTTTTTAAAAATACTTTATTGTTATTCATACATATATTTATTTTTATGCAAGGAAAAATGAATGGGTATTCAAAGGTATGGTCAAAAAAGTCAAAATGCATCACACAGGTAAAATGGGAAGCGTTTCAATTAGATCGCAATAAATGTTATCTTGACTTTTTTGACCATATCTTGTAAGGAAGGAAGGAAAGCTGAGAGAGGATATGATAGCTTTTGTCAGATATCTGAAAATATATCTCATAGACAAAGGCAAAGCCACTATCATGCCAAAGTGTCCAATATGCAGTGCATAGACTTAAGTAACAGGAAGGCAGGTTTTGATTGAATAATACATCTGCAGGGTACCAGATTATACAAGGTTTGGCCTATATAGCATTTCTGCCCTGTGCCCAGAACATTTCAGTATCTACAGGTTGCCCCATTGTATTAATTAATGCAAAATTAGAGTTAGTGTCTTACTTTAAGGGAAGGGAGGAGGAAATATAAAATTAGAACTATTTGGTTTCCTGTCTATCACTAAGCTACCATTTAATTACTTGCAGCAATGAATCATCCCTAAAAAAGGACATAAAAAAGTTATACCTAAAATGGGAGCAATGATGTCAAAGTTTTGTTGAACAGATCTTAGCATTTCCTTCTGAGCAGAACATAACCAGGAGGAAAATCTGGATCACTTTCTGATTTTCATCAGGTCAGGAGTTCTACAACACAGGTAGTATTTGACTTATAACCATTCATTTAATGATTGAATCTTTAGATTCAATCTTTAGAAAAAGTGCAGAGGAGAGCAACAAAATGATTAGGGGTCTGGAGGCTAAAATATGGGGAACGGTTGCAGGAACTGGGTATAGCTGGAAGAGAAGGACCGGGGTGACATGATAGTGGTATTACAATATTTGAGGGGCTGCCTCAAAGAGGAGGGAGTCAACCTATTTTCCAAAGCACCTG